ATTTATTTGTAATAAATGTTTTATAAAAAGGAATAAAAAATGTAAATTACAGAGGTGTCACTTATTGAGACGAGACGTTTACTAAGGATATGAGTGTGTGTGTGTGTGTATTACTTATAGTAATAAATGGTTTTGAACGGTGTTCTACAATAATGTGTTGGATTTGGTGAGTATGGTTATCCTGGATTTCGGTTAAGTGTACGTAGTAAGGAAAGTTGCGAGGGGGTTTCGTGAGAGAATGAGACTCCAACTGAGAAATATAAATATATGTGGCTGTTTTACTATTAAATTCGTCGTCCTGGGTGAGGTCGATGATTTCTACATCTAAGGTTTCGGTTATAGATTTGTATAATGTATTTGCTGGTCTCGATACAGACTCTGGTGAAGAATGATCTGGTATGAATTTCTTTACTTTAGACTCGCGTACATTTGTAAGTACTACCCAAACGATTCTTTAGAAGAAATTTAATGTACGATTGGGGAATTAAGTCGTAGCCTCTGATGTCACTGATTATACGCGGCTTCGCAGGATTCATGTGCTGGGCCAGCAGTGCCGCTCTCTTGCAGGCTTCCCTTCGTAGTTGCCTTGCCTTTTGTTTTAAGCCTCCGCGATGTTTATTTGGCATCTACCGATTTTATTTAAAATAGTATCGTGACCGCGCATTGAAATTATAATAGAATAAAATTGAGGTGGAGTCAGAGATAAATTGAATACGTTGAGGACTGAATAGTTCTAAAATTTGTTGATTGAAAGGTCTGTTGCCAGGGTATAATTGTTAAATAAATTAATATTGTATACAGAGTACGGTTGCTTTAGCAAGGTAAGGTTGTATTGGACTAGAGGCATCGAATAAAAGAAGAGCGTGGCGGCTGTTAGCTGCGCCCCTGATTGTGAAGGATGCTATGCACCGTATGGACAATAGATTTTATTGTTTAAAGTTTCCGATCTTGTTGGATGAATGGCTGTCTTATGAGTTGGATAGGAAGGCTGGGAAAAATAAGCCAAGTGGCACCCGTGAGGCGCTCCTCAGTCTGGTAGGAAAAGAGGCGGGTGCACCTGCGAGGCGCTTCCCAATGGTAGACAAGATCGTTTAAATATGACGTGACTAACTATGAGACCTTCTGGCAAAAGACACTAGTAACGTATTATATAATTTAACTAATTAAATAAAATTGATACCGCACGATTAAGTCTGAATAGCTGGTGTCCATAGAAGTGTTCAATAAAAAGAAATATGGTAGCAGATGCCACAAGAATGCAGGACGTGACTAAAATGCATTGCGCGAAATATCGAAAGACCGTATGCCTGTGCAATGGCATATAGAGGTAATACAGGAAAATCGGAAATTGCAATAAAATAACAAGTTCACAATTTACACAAAGAAATAAGTGATATGCATGCCGGTGCAATGGCGCACGTGAATATACACAATGAAATCAAACATACATAATAAAAATCAAATACAGAATGAAATGTAGGTGGGGAAGGATGCACTTGATAGAATCACATTGAATAAAATATAATATGTTGAATATATGTATAGCGAACATCAAAAGTAAGATATCACAAATTGGTACAAAGTATACTTGTATTGAGTATATTTATTAGTAGTAATGGATTATTGATCTGAACGGAGCCGTTATGACATATGCGAATAGGTATAATATATTCTTGAATATAATATATTGTTATAAGGATATAATAAATTGAAAATGTATAAGTGCAGGTTAAAATGGAGACAATGGATATATAAATTCAAATACATAAATGCACGAAATAAAAAAATATATATATGTATCTTAGCTAGTGTGTTGAGAGAGAGAGAGAGAGAGAGAGAGAGAGAGTACGTGAACGAAAGAGACGTCCTTTCTTGTGTCTCTATTGTAAGAATAATTAAATTGATAATGCCACTGGCTGTCAAGATTGTGAGAGTCTAGTGTAACGTCCCGCGACATCTTCACAAACCTACAAAATTTTTCACAACGCTATCCTAAAGCTAACAAGAAACAATACTAGTTCGAACTATCAGAAATAATTGCTTACGACATAAATCAGCATAGCGGCCTGTATCTCCTAAAATATCAGTAAAACTGTTCCGTGCAAATGAAAGCCCTTTAAAATTACTACAAATAGGGCCATAACGCACCGATGTCGTGCGTTATGGCCCTGTGCCTTGCACCGATGCCGGGCGCTCGCAAGGAGGAAAGAAAAAGGAATAGTGTATATGTGGCTCACTGGTACGACAAGCACTGTATCTTGATGTCGATAAACCGAATAGATAATACAATGCGGAATCTCTCTTCCTTTTAGCACCTTACTGTGTATTGTATAACTTAAAATTCGGAAAACGGTTCGCAAAATACGGTTTAACGCAAGGAACAAGTATACGAGAGTATGAATGCGAGTAATCTAGAATGCAAGTTAATATATACGAATGTCAACGAGATGTAAACGATATTTGATTGATGTGCGGTTATTGAAATTATTGAATAAGCTTTGTCTTGTTGTAAGAAAGAAGACACTTGCTCACTCGCTTTGAAATATTCCTAAGGAATCACTCGCGGTTGTTGTAATGCACTGACTCTAAGTCGGTCGCGAAACGCGGTGTGTGTGAGTGAAGTGTATGAAATAAAGTGAGTACTTACGATTATTATATTATTTCTTATGATTTCCTTATGGAATATAAATATTGTCGCTGCGCCGTTTGCCTAAGCTTAGCTAGGAAGTCTCGGAGAACAATAGGCTCACTGATATAGTAAAACTAAGTACTAACGCGAACTGCTCGAAGCACGACACGGTCAGAGCAGGAGTCAACAGATTCGCTTAGCACAAAACCCAAAAAATGAGAAGAACACGCGTATTTCTCGTGGAAAATTCCTAAGAAGTTCCCGAGTATGCGTGCGATATTCTCAGTGAAGGCTCTGAAGGAGCTTTGTCGGAGGCTCTTTAGTGAGACAGAACGTTGTCCGGGGTGGCACGTCTGCTCAGAGACACTCGTCCGCTTCACAATAAAATGGGACAGATGACTGAGAGCTCTCTGGGGTGGCACGTCTTTTACAGCTTGGAAGGTAGAAGTCGACTCTGCGGCGGGAGATGCCGCCGGGGCCTCGTTCGGTCCGAATAATGGAGCCTGAGAGTGGGGTAGACTATATGATAGGAGTAATAGGAATATACGAGAAGGACTTGGAGTAGGAGTGTTCAAGGATTTTCAGAGTGGGACTGAGTGGCGTGATACTGATGAGGCGTCGAGATAACTCGGCGCGCCGCCGGGTGTGATAAGGAGCGTGGTCAACAGGATGCCCTATGTTACCTGATATGGGATCGGGTTACTCGAGGATTCCAGAGCTCTCACGGTGGCCTGTTTTTCTCGCCCGGCTTATCTCCCAGACTTCCTGTCGCCAGTCTTAATAATTAATTAACTTATATGTGTGCCTATATGCTACTGTAATATTAATATAATAGTTGTTAATATAGTATGTGAGGTCCTTACAGCTGTACTGTATGCTTAATATAGTAACATGAGTAGAATAATAAGATATAATATTAATTACTTATAATTTTAATAATGCAATATGCAATATGCATGTATTATAATAAAAGGAACATTTATCGTTAAGGTTTAAATAGTTTTGTCAAAAATTATTATAAGAGATGCATATTGTTAACAGTGGGTATAGGTAAGTAGAGTATAGAAACTTATAATATTGTTAATGGAAAAGGAGGATACCTTTTCGCAGGGATCCTTATTGTTGCTGTAGGGATATTAATGTTTATCGGTAAGTACGTGTTCTACCGTAGGGTTCCTTATTCACGTATGTCGGTAAGGTAAATTTCCTTAGAAGGTTTCGCCATTAATGGTGTCGGTAATTAATTATTAATTGTTGTAAACGATTTCTGCTTATAATTTTGTAACGTCCCACGACGTGCTCTCTTCCATTATAATTTTTTCGCCTTAAAACCTGAAAGCTAACAAGAAACATGATTAATTTTAATCATTCAAAATGTTTATTCACGGTCGAAATTAAGAATGAAAGCGTATATCTTTTGAGACTATAACAATTTGATCAAATCGATGAACGCAATCGAAAGGCCTTTTAAAATGCTACAAATTTTATATTGACGGAAATCTTGTAAAATCAATAGTTTAAAAGTTATAGCCACTCAAAATTTTTACCAATCAGAGGAGATTCGATATATCTCAGTAACCATAAAACTAAGAACTACGATTCAAATTTCTACTAGAAGTATAAAAAGCCTCCACCTAATAGCTATACTGAAAATTCATTAAGTGTTAACAATTAAGAGATATATTAAAGAACAAATAGTTTTAGCAAAAAAATGTCAAACCTGAAACTGGGGAACCCCCAAGCCCCCACTAATACGTACAGCTTGCGACACTTTACCCGCATCGAGCATCTCGTGTGACCACTTTGCATGTTATATCTGAAACAATTATATTTTGTTATAAATCAAAGTATTCACAGACCTATATAATATTTAATACATTCACATTCTTAGTCGCTTATTCACTAACTCACACTTATATGTATACACATACATATACAGGGTGTTTGATAGCTGATCATGCAGACGAAAATTGGAGATAGATTGGGTGTAGCCGAAAAGAAAAGTCATGTACCACAATGTCAAATTGCCAATAGTTATCGAGTTATTAATTAAAACATGTGAGCCAACGAGCGCGTAGAGAGCGGAGGACGACCGCAGTAAGCACGTAGACATTTGATACAGGCGGAGTCAGCGAGTGGCGGTAGGCAAGCGCGCGTGGCGAGGAGCAACGTAAACGACAAGAGGCGAGTGCGCGCGATGAGGAGCTAGCGAGCTTTTTCTTTATAGCTTTTTCCTTATAGCTCGCAAAGGGAATTAATAATAAGAAAAACCCTATAACACACTTGTACATACATAAGACATAACTATATTTTAAAAAGGAATACAAAATACATATTTAGAATAATATATAAATATACATATATATATTTAGGTGCAATACGGCAACTCGTTCATTCTCTGTAACAAACAAGATTAATATAAGTAATTCCCGCGTTTTCCAAAAAGAAAAAAGCCGACGTACTGACACGGTGGAATCACGCTAAGGCTAATATATAACCTTATTGTCTCAGCGACAAGAAAAATCCAACAATTATAGTATAGTGCAGGATGTTCCAAGCGTCAGGCCTAATTCCTACTTAGAAATTCTACAAGTAGACGAAAAACCGAAACTAATGAGCCTACAATCATTAATGTAGAGCAAATAGTCCGAAAGTTACAGACTTGTACAGATTTCATGTCGAAACAGTTGCAACAAACCCAATGAATGTCACTTTTTTAAGCTGAAATTTTCTCTGAGTAACTGGGGACAAAACTAATTAGATTTTCAGAAAGAAGGCTTAAAACCTGACTTGTACGTGAAAGAATGAGCCAATTATCTCATCTAGATCTTGAGAAATAAATTATTTAGTGTCAAAATTGATACCGCTCCAACTAAATTTTGCATGATAAGTTCTCAAAGCGAAATTCGTTCCACAATAACTTAGACAAATTCTGAGTGCACTGTTCATTAGCGAGTGACAAGATATACTTGCATACACAAAATCAATTGTCTAGCTCGATTAGTTGCTGAGTTATTAATTAATAAATTTTGAGGTTCTGTTATATCAGAGACAATAGACGCAGAGTCCACATACACACAATTCCTATTAGACTCGGATAAAACGAATAAAAACCAATAAATTCACTCCAAATTTTAATGAAAAATCAGACACCAGAATAACAATTAACTAAATTTGATACCTTACTCTAAGAACAAAAAGAACAAATATTTGACAGCAAAGATAACCTCATATAGCAAAGGTCGCCCCGCTGGGAAAATATTCGTTTAATTTGCGCATTTATTAACATAATTAGCTTAGTAGTATTAAATACCTACCCGAATAATTTCCTTAAACCATATGCCTCGAATTCTCCCTGCAGTCTATCTTGCCAAATAATCAGTAGGTTTCCGCCTCTCTTCTCCTCCATCTCCTCTCCCAACATACCTTACTCATCTCCCTTATTGAGAGGAGCCCGAGCAACAGAATTTCTGTCTTTATGCGTACATCCTGCATCGGGCAAATTACAGAAACACTGCAATGAAAACAATATTAAAGAACCTCTCCCATATATAGTTGTACCTCTACAAACACTATCGAAAGAAATCACACTCGCTATTACCATCGGCACAGGGCGAATGTACCGATGCTTGTAATAACGTTAAAATAATACATTTTTACTTTTTCTTCCCTTTCTGCTGGTACAACTAACAGCTCACGACTGACAGCTGACAGAAAATCTGCACAAAATGGAGACCGACAGGCATAAACCTATATATATTAACTAGATGCACTTCCCTTCGAACACACATCCCTATATAGAACTAGGACACACGAAATGGCGGAAGCCATTTGGGCAAAACTCATTAAATGGTATTAGATCGTGAAAAAACTACGATAAAATTAATAACATATGCAATCCACACATTACCGATATATACTAATACATAAATAATTATCAATAATATCATAATTACTAAATTGATTAAAACAGTAATCGATAATTACAAGATTGATTAAAAATTGATTAAAATAGGGAAATAACTATTTTGCTACTATTCAAACCTTCAGAAACAATATTAACGCAACCCCAAATACACGAAAATTACAAAATTGTGCATAAACAAACTAATTTTGTAAAATAATTTTGGATTTTCACTATCGCTAAACATGTGTCGGACACTTTCAATATGGTACCCCCACGATTAAAAATTAGTTTAATACAATATTTTAATTCGTTTATTTAAAAAATCGGGCAAATAACAATTAAATCGCCACAGACCCATATTACAATAAAAACACTTGAACATAATTACTAAAGGATAAAATTAATGTATTCCGTTATTATTAAAAAATTCAATGTCATTATTCATAACAATTATAATAAGTCTAGAGTGTTCCTTTGTCACTATAAAACTTTTTTTCAGAACAGAAAATTTGCTCATACCTCACGATCTGCCTAAAATAAAAACACAGACTAATTATTGAATAAATAACCACTTAACCAGTCAAGATAGAAAATTTACAATCTTATCACTATATTCCGTATTGCCCAGGGAATCAAGTACGCGCCAGAGAAATCATTAAACCACCTATAAAAATTAATTGTAAAAAATTATAACAAATTAATTATAAAACCAAGACACAACACAACACATACAATTATACTTCTCTATGAAATACTGATATATCGGAACTATAAGAATCATCTGTTACAGGCGAAATTAGTTGAATAATTTTCTTCAATTTATTAACTTCTATTAACCTTTATTAACCTTCCTTAATCTCAATTAAATTCATCGATAACCTTAATTAATTTTTCTTTAATTGTTTTCATTTTTATTAACTTTTAATTTTTCCTCTTCCCTTTTTCGCTTTTCTTTTCTTCTTTTGTCCTTTTTATTCTGTCTTATCAGAGGAAATACACCCTCCACTACTCAGAAATAAATTCATTACACTAGCTCACATAACCGACTTGGCAAAATACCGTCTTGAACAATAGCGCGACTTTGGCAATTTTATACACATAATTTGAAAAATACTTAATCAAAGCAACATTACTATATCATTTTAGAAAGATCTTGAAAAGAACTATCGGGAAAAGCACTATGATTGAACAATCCTACTTACAAAAATTAAGTTAACAATCATCTAACACCAATGACGTCATTTAAGACCAAATAAATACTGTCCTCAATAGGACCCCGCCGAACCCTCAAATTACAAAAATCCATTAACCAATCAATCCAAAGTAAAATTTTACTTATTAACAAATAGCCGTAACGGCACATCACATGATAAATAAGCCTAAGATAAGGTCTTTCTTGTAAACGCTATTTCTAAGAACTCTCGATCGATAATATAAATATGCGCGCAGCGTGAAAATTTATATGTAAGAGAATACGTGAAGGACAAATACACTGGAGACAGTTACGACCACTTCCAAACATCCGTTCCCACTTTTGATCCCCACCACGACCTTTCCCACACCATAGCTCCTCTCCAGACCCAACGAGTTGATCCTGGAGAGCCCAACGAGTCAGTCGATCTCGGGGAGCCCAGAGAGCCGGTTACGTGCAAGCTAAGAAACCAGTCGAACTTGAGAAACTCTACTAAGCAGTCATTTTCGAACAACATTATAAGACTCCGGTATCTCGTCCCAGGACTTGCCTTCACGTACTCTCATGTGCAACCATTCTAAGCCGCCATTGTTAATCGTAAGTTGCATTTTATATTGTATTAGGACTAATTAGTTCTTATAAAACTTTGCATTACGGATAAACGGCGTAACGGTTATTCGAGTTGTGACAGGCATTCAGTCAACCTGGTTGAGACAATAGAGAAATATCGTAAACGTTCAGTAATTCAAAATTTAATACACCATTTTGACACACTAACGCGCACAATATATATATAAAATCACATTACACCAGTTTTAATGATAAAATTGTAGCTATTGAATATTGTTCAATTAAGAATAGATTCCATTTTCATTAAATCACTTCAAACTCCCATGAATCCTTGGTAGCTCCACCGCAGATGAGCCCCAGAATGTCCGTGCGAATTACCTATCGTAGCTCCCCACGAGAAAGCTCCTCCTTACAGGAAGTAGACTTAGGATCTGGAAGCTCCACGCATCGTTGAGCCCTTGTCTTGGCAGCTCCGCGCATTGTCGAGCCCCAAGCTAGGTCACCTTGTTATAGCTGACACTCCAGAATAGATTTTAGTTTTAAGAATCCTTCAGGCAGCTCTAATAATCGAGCTCCATTATATCCTCAGATTTCTTGGTAGCTCCAGAACAGTAGAGCTCCAAATACCTTTTTTTTTGTTTTTGATAACGCAGGGGAAACCCATAATGGGTACCCTCCACCCCCTGGGAGGGGCGGAGGGTTATATGAGACTTTTACTCACTAAAACCCCTGCGGGGTGTCTACCAGTCGGACCGAGATGGGGGAGTCAGGGGAACTACGCAAGTATTCCCTCCTTGACACCTCGGCCCCAGGGCTCATAGTCGAACCCCAGATGCCGCGCCCCCATTTCCCTTGAGGAGAAGGTTTGGAGCGCAGCGCCCCAGTCGGCTGAGCCGACCGGGTTGGCCTTCCGGTGATTTTTCGGGAGGGGGGACATCCACCTCACTTCCCCGCCCCCACCCCCCTAGAGTTCCCACTTTGGGGGGAGCGGGGGAGCGAGGCCCTTTCCCAGAAGGCCTCACTCCTCCCTGTCCTTACCTAACCGACGCGCGGAGGGGAGGCGGGAGGAGGTCGTTCACCTGCCTCTCCGCGTCCTTCCCCCACGCGTCCGAAGTCGACCCCGAAGCGGCCGGGGGGGGCCGCGGAGTCCGGGTTGCCGGTCTCCGCTGCCTCCTCCCGGCCAGCGCCACCTCGGAGTCGCTTTCATCACCTTCCGGGGAGCGCCGCCTCCGACCCCCTGCACTACGCATTCCGGGTCGGGTCGGCGCTCCCACTCGGCGGCCTCCTTCTGGGACATTACGTACTTGCAGAAGGAGGCCGCCGCCCCCCATACCTCCTCGCTCCTGCACACGGCCGCACCATGCGCGGGAGCGAGTGGTCCTCCATCCTGCACCTCATCGCCCGGGCCAGGACACGGCGCTGTTCACTCCACGCCTCGCGCTCGGCGAGGGTGTGCTGCGCCGTGTCATTCGGCTCCGGGCAGTGGTGGAACTCGGTGGTGTTCTCCTTACCTATCCGGTGCAGGTACCTCCGAAACAGCCGTTTCCGGTCAGTACCTGCACCAGGTGGAACGATAGTCCACGTCCCCTCCTGCCCACCATTTCTGGCAGGCAGGGGCGGACGGCCTCGGCCGTCTGGCGACCGAATCCCCGCGGATCGGCCAGGGAGGCCGCCGCCATGTGGGAGATGGTGCAGTACCCTCGGACCGCCCTGATCAGCACCGCCCGCGTGGCCTGCCTGAGCAAGGCCACGTTGCGGGCGGTAGCCAACAAACGGGGTGCCCATATGGGCGCCCCGTACAGGGCGACCGAGTGTACCACTCCCACGTAAAGGCGGCGTACCCGCCATCCAGGGCGCCCCTGGGTCTGCGTCAGGCCGGCCAATGCCGTGCCTATCTTGCGGACCCGGTGGGCCAGGCTCCTGAAGTGGGCCCAAAGTTCCACTGGCTGTCCAACGTCAAGCTCAGATACTTCATCGTGGGCTTGATGCGGACGCGGACTCCGTCCACAAGGACCCGGGCTCTTCGCGGCCCGCCCCGACCCCGTCCATGGAATAGCATGGACTGGGTCTTCTGGAGGGCCACTTTGAGCCCTAGGTCCTTGATGGTGTTCACCACCGAGTGCAGAGCGGCTTCCACCCTGAGGTGAGCCTCGCCCCAATTCTCCCCTTCGGCCAGGACCAGAGTGTCGTCTGCATAGCAGACGACACGGCAGCCGGGGAGAGGGGAGTATGCAGTACTCGGTCGAACACGATGTTCCAGAGCAGAGGTCCCAATACGGACCCCTGCGGAACACCGCGCTCTATTAGGCGGAATCCAAGGCGCCGGCTTTGGATCCCGCCTCTTCCCGAGTAGGCGAGGTGTCTGTCTCTGAAGTAATCGGCCATTATGCGCCGGAGTCCAACGCCCGTCCTATCTCCGGCCAGGGTAGGGTGTTGAAGGAATTCGTTATATCCAACGAAACTGCCAACAACACCCCGCCCTCGACCTCCACGACAGCACAGGACAGGTCCCGAACGTGTTAGAGTGCATCCAACGTTGATCGTCCGGGCCTGAACCTGTACTGGTTGTCGTGGAGGTCCGGCCCCTCCAGGGACAGATGCTGGACGAGGCGGTCGGTAATGATGTGCTCCAGCATCTTGTCCGCCTCGTCCAGCAGGCAAATCGGCCTGCAGGCCAGCGGCCCACCGGGTACCTTGCCCTCCTTGGGGAGGAGGACCAACTTGGCCCTCCTCCACTCTTGGGGGAAGACTCCCTCTCTCAAACACCCCTCCAAAGCCTCCCGCGTTCCGTCGCCAAGTGCGAGAGTCCACGCTCAGCCAGGAATCCCGTCAGGGCCTGGGGCTTTGCCCTTGTATGGGCGCCCCCACGGGTCCTCGTCCAAAGAGTCCATCAGGCGCTCCCATGCTCGACTTGGCGTCGTCAATGGCGACCTTGAGGGCCTTCTGCGCATTGCGGTAGCCCTCTTGTGTCCCCGCGGCGTCCCCGCCGGT